TGTATTTTACCCTCGTTCATTATGTACCAAGGCTTGTATTTTACCCTCGGTCATTATGTATCAAGGCTTGTATTGTACCCTCGGTCATTATGTACCAAGGCTTGTATTGTACCCTCGGTCATTATGTACCAAGGCTTGTATTGTACCCTCGGTCATTATGTACCACGGCTTGTATTGTACCCTCGGTCATTATGTACCAAGGCTTATATTGTACCCTCGTTCATTATGTACCATGGCTTGTATTGTACCCTCGGTCATTATGTACCAAGGCTTGTATTGTCCCCTCGGTCATTATGTACCAAGGCTTGTATTATAACCTCGTTCATTATGTACCAAGGCTTGTTGTACCAAGGCTTGTATTGTACCCTCGGTCATTATGTACCAAGGCTTATATTGTACCCTCGTTCATTATGTACCAAGGCTTGTTTTGTACCCTCGGTCATTATGTACCAAGGCTTGTATTATAACCTCGTTCATTATGTACCAAGGCTTGTATTTTACCTTTGAAATGCAGGAAAACCATTTTGAAGATCATTGCAAGTGCATGGTCTTTTAGAACGTAATACATGCACGCGCTTGATGTGTCGTCCAGTAGACATAAAACCAACGGAAAGTGTCGTTAGATCACAAACGTAGGAGAGTCCGTCATATTACACAAGCTGACTCGTTATAGAGACGTTTGTTATGACTGGTTCGATTGCTCTACATTTCTGAGGACCTTTATTGTGATGAACTCTGATTTCCTGGAGTTTGGCCAAATATTCTATATACCTTGTAATATTATGTTGATATTTACCCACACAGTCCTCGCGACTTTAAAAAGGGGACAATATTCCATGTTATTTATAATAAAACAATTATCTAAACGAGTTGCAAATGCTGATAGCTAAAAACATGTGGTAAGAGAATTCCAAAATGTTAACAAAAACATAATTCAAACTCAAAATCTACGAAACTCGAAATATTGGGGAAAAACAAATGTATATTGATTCCCTTGACAGAGTACGAGGACAATAAGACCAGGTGTTCCGGAAGGGTAAGTGTCTTCTGCTTAATCAACGACAACTACCGTGGAAGACTAGAACAACCCTAAGTAATATCACGTCCTCACATCCAAAAACTCGGGAAGTGATAACAAAATCACAAAACACTCTAATGGGTATTATCCAAAGCATCGACCTTAAATGATCATAGCTTTCTAAAACACATCTGGCTTTTCACAAGAAAGGAATGTTTAATTTGGTCATGAATGAGGCCAGTAGGTTTCTCCGTAACTCAGTGTACTTATAATCTGAAGAACGTATCCTATTATTGATTTGTTTAAAACTACTGCGTTCTGGTGAGTTTAAATCTCCAAAGTGCTGATTGACTGTCGCTGTGATCACATTATACCGATGCGATCACGTATATAGGTAGGTTTCTAATAGACTCATACATAAAGCCAATAAATGTGACGTCAGAATGTAAAAAGATCAATGGCATTGTGAGTCCATATTATTATAACATAGTTATTAATAGCATACTGCCAGATACAATTTACAGTGTGACAACAGCAACCGCTTTGTAACTTTGGAATCATTGATTTTCTCCTTGAAAATGATAATTGAAGCAATTTGATGTAAAATTGATATAGTTGCATGTTGATACGATACGTCATTGAATTCATTGCTGTCACTTTAACATATTTCATTTATTATATATCCGTATTAGATTATTTATCACATATCCTTACAACATATACGCATAAGTTATTTTCTGGTACATATTTCATATGAGGTAAGCCTGTCACACAGTAACACTTAATGCTTTTTCTATATTATATTAAATTTGTCAAGCAACTAAATACCGGTTACATAGGCATGTACAAATTAAAATAATTATGCATCCAGAATTACCTCCAACCCAGTCTTTGTTAATCTCTAAACAGCCGCTGTTGTGTATAAGCCATGTTTGAGCACTTTCAAGTAGTTGAAATATCCTTGTATAAAAAGCTGAACATCTTGAGGAGTTTCGTAGTCCTTGTACACTAAATAAAGGTGATTACTCGTGTTTTGGAGTGGGTGGCCTACACCTGGGCGATCGAGTACGGTATCGTAGCATCGGGGATATTTCAGGCTTCGCGGGGGATCTCCAAGACTTGGCTAGTTGGGGCTGCCATATTTGAAATAGCCTATGTATGAGTTCTAGCCCCACAATATTACGTCGTTTTCCTACAATTTCTGAAACGATTGTGTCCTCGGTTTCTCCATGACCCATCATACCTGGTTCTTCCCACGCCTTAACAACCAATCGTCTAGGTAACAAGTTATTCTGTAAATGCGCACCAGTTCGTTTTGTATTTCCACGGCGTACAGAAAAACGAGAATTATTACTCTGGTTAGATTTGACGGAACACAGAGATTGGGCGGAATTGGACATAGAAGGACGTTTTGAACTTCCCAACGGACATGCAGAAGTGTCCTTACTTCCGGTGTCATTGATTGTAGTGTTTGTTCGAGAAGCTGTCATCACTGCAGAAGACACCCTTTTCCATTTGTTGATGTTTTGCGATTGTTTGTCGTTTTTTAAATCTCGTGAACTTGATACTAACATTGGACTTCTGAGAAGATTTGTTTTAAGTTTCATCCACCTCGTATGGCCACTAGGAGGCTGGATAACAATCGTTGGGTTAGCCATTGTTTAGGCTTTGTCTCTTCTTTGTCTTTCTTCTCTTACACGTCGAACTGGTGTGATGGGTGTATTTTCCTAATTTTATCACTCATTCAAAATATAAACACAACATCAAGAATCATAGCATTCCTGCAGATATTCATACGATACACATGATAAAATCAAAGAACTCCATCCATTCTTTCATACACAAGCCTCTTCCATCGGTATGGGTTAAACTTTCACAGATTCACGTTGATATTCCTCCTGATTGTGACGTGTTTATCGCTCCATTGTCTCCGTATGAAATGATAAGCTGCCTCATCCTGAACGACACAGTACTTATAACAACGCGAACTTATACAGATGTATTTCTGTCCACTGAATGCTTTGTGTGCCGGGTTACTTTTACTTTACAAAGACTAGGACATTAACACTCGATTTAAAGTACATATAAGACGATTAGTGCCATTGGATTAGAAAACTAAAACAAATCCTACGTCGACACAGATAATTCACAATATCCACTCGGGATTTATTGAATACATATTTAATCGCTACAGAGTGGCTATGTATGTAAATACAGGACCATACCTACCGTAAACTTGTAATTCCAGAAACACCAATTAATCAATGCTTGTACACATATTTTTGAATAGAGGAATAATACATACCGTTTAATCCCTTCTAGCCCCAATCAATCATCATGGCGAGACATTTCCCATAGACTGTTAAATGTGTTTCACTCAAAGAACTTTTATATATTTTCAGATTAAAGGGGAAATAGCAATACGTCTCGTGACATCAAACCTGTAATTAAATATTGTGATGTTTTGGGGGATTTTTTAGGAACAGAATACTGAAAATAATCGTATTTTTCATGGTCCTTCATTTTTTGCGGATTTGCTATCATGATCAATTACGTGGAATCTGGTCTAGTGGCCATGCCACAAGATTCAACATTTCTTTACTTTTCCCCCAAATACTTGATAAGTGATAGAATGAAAAAACTTTAATTCATTTCTTGATTTACTGTTTAACCTTTTTTCGAGGTTTTCTTCGCACCAATACTTTCGAAAAACCAGCAAGCTTTAATGTCAAATTATATAACTTGTACACATTTCCGCGGTTCAACAGTGATTGTGACTAAAGCGATTACATTTCGCGTGAAAATATTTCCGAAATAAAAATTATAATGAATCGTAAAATCAGTATAAAAAGAGCTGTTATGTAGTGTTTTCATTGTAGAATATCTGTAACGTGTTTCTTTGTCAAATGTTAAGGGTGTTATCATATATGCACTGTAGCATTGCTCGGATAAGGTTTCCGAGTTGCGTTTTCATTTTACCGAATGATATTTCCATACGTTGAGAGTAATGTAGTGGGGTAGACAGGAAATCGATTGAGACATATAAACACTGTAGTTAGGGATGAAAATGTTGACAGAATGACACTTGTGCAATGTAACATAACAAATGCTTATACTGGCAATGCAAATAGGGTGGTTCATGTAGCAAAGAAATTGGAACTGCAAAATGAGCAGAAATATAATCCTATGGTATGTAGACATTATCGAATGGGAATAAGAGCTGAAACAACTTAAAAACTGTTTTTCTTGGGACCAGCAAATAAAATATTTCATACTACAAGATTCTTCTGTAGTAAGGTTCTTATTGAGAACCAAAAATACATATTATGTGACGAATGAGGAAACAATTTTCATGTCATATCACCAAACAGTATTGCAGTGGATTAGTATCACTACACCCGCCATGGGACTATAAGAGAGATACTTCAATGGGTTACATATTGAATGTAAGGGGACAACAAAGCTTTACATGCAATGTAAATGTCGCAAGATCCGGCGAGGTAGAAAGAGCAGCAAATAAGGCAGAAACTGCGTTCAGATTTTTGATTCCAACTAATCTGTATTAGACGTTCTGAAAACAAACCAATCGGACGCGGCGGAGTTGGCTGTCACGTAGTGTAAGGCGGTCTACTACAATAATGAACCAATCCAAACAAAGGTAATGCCGTTGTCAATCACTATTGATTTACCACTTCCGAGTAATAGTTACATGTGCTCGTTGCTGTTGACGATTGTGGATTCAGCAACACAAAGATTAGCATCATTAGTCAGTTATCTAACTATTTCAATACAAATACGATATGTTGTCGTAATTTATTGTACATTAGCTATAAATAAATGCTGTGTACCATCATTTACATCAATATCAACAAGAGTTGTGTGCCGCCATTTATGTGAAATATAAACAAATGCTGTGTCCTGTCATTTACATCAATAATAACAAGAGTTGTATACTATCATATATGTCAATTATAAACAAATGTTGTGTACCATCATTTATATGAAATAGATACAGATTGTAATGGATTCACACAACTAAATCATTTACTATATAATAATACTTGGCTTTTGAGCTAATAGCTTTAATATTTGAAGTTTAACACTAGTGACAACTGTCTATATTCATAGCTACATACCTGACAATGGCATCATTTTTGGCAGATTAATTGTCATATAAGAGTGCTACAAGCCAAACCGATGAAGCGGGACGGGAACACCCCCTGACTTATATCAAAATCTGCTAAACTATACATTTTCCCAAAGTTAAATATCTGTATATTTCATTAAATAAAAAAGAATGTCAACAATTACACATTTAAGTTTCTCAGAGGCACTGTATCTAACCGGAACTTGTTTTAGCAAGGGATCACAGTCGTGCGAAACACTTACTGGTTGGCTGATTTAGTTGTGTAAGTCCTAAATAAGTGTTATGTACCGTCAGTTACGTCAAGTAAACACAACTGCTGTGTACTGTTATTTACGTCAATGATAGACAAATGTTGTGTTCCGACTTGCTTACCATCATTTACATAAATTATGAACTAGAAGTGTATGCTGTCATTTACATCAATTATAAAAGTGTTGGGTTCAGTCATTTACATCAATTATAAACAAGTTTAGTATACAGTCATTTACATCAAATGTAAAGAAGAGTTGTATACCGTCATAATATACACCTAATAAACACATGTTTACTATTGTATATTAATCAATTATCCACAAGTATCGCTAATGTTCGTAAATTATAGATAAGTGTTGTGTATCGTTCTGGTACATCATTCATTCACAAGTGCTATCCATTGTTTATATCAATTATACTCGTTTAGCATTAATTAATATCACTTATTTAACAGTTTCATACATTGTTAATGTTCTTCGAACAGTTGTTTATTGTAACTATACATGACGTTCACACATTCGTATTTGCTATGATACAAAAACTATGCAATAGTTTGCTTTCAAATTTCTCACAGAAATGAAATTAAAAAGTCATTCTTAATTGCTAGATTCAGGTTTGTGACACGGAATACATTTAGACGGGTATCACTAATAAAATCATCATGCGATGCATTGTTCACTTTTACGGAATTCCAAACGGTTTTGCCGTAAATTGTTACATTCTTGATGATCAGATTATTGGCAAAGTCATCGGTATTTAATGGTTTTTGATCAACTGTCATGGAAAGATTATTTGATTTGAACGAAAAAGACAAGAGGAAGTATTCGTGATTTTCAACAGTGTCAATAGATTTACCGTCATCCCAAAATAGATCTCCTTTTGCCGTTTCATTTTCATTTAACACTACAAACAAACCCATTGGATTACGCCTACTATACACTGTAGTGTTTGCAGCAAGCTGTGTAGGCAGTATATGTCCTCCATACACAAACAATGGAATGACGTCACGAGGTGCTGATACAACCTCGAACGAAGAGGAACTCTTCACCTCCTGACCTGTATAGTAGTCGAACCAACGACCAACGGGAAAATAAACGTCGACTTGCGTCTTGCCTTGTTGCAAAACTGGAGCGATCATGAATGCCTTTCCCCACATAAACTGTGTGTCGACGGACCAAGTGGTTTGATCATTCGGGAAATTGTGTGTTAGAGACTTGATGACGGTACCCCCGTGTACGTGGACGTGGTAAAACAACGTGTAAAGGTATGGCAACAACGTGTAACGCACTATAAGCGCTTTTCGGGACGAGGATGCCACAGCCGGACCGAAATAGGCCGGGTCTTGCGGTGCAGTGTTAATAGTGTTGTGATTCCTTGAGAAGGTATAGAATGCACCAAGTTGCATCCAGCGTTCACATAGCTCCGATGTAGAATTTTTGAAAAACCCACAGATATCCGCTCCAATGTATGGGATACCAAAGAGGTTAAACTCCAGTAGGCCTATTACAGAGTCATGAAGATCTGACCATGCGCTGTCATTGTCGCCGAGCCAATGTCCAGCATAACGCCCACTGGACGGATACGTGGATCGCGAGATGACAATTCCGCGCTCACTGGTGGCCTCCCTGAGGGCGTGGAGGGTGGGTTCTGTCTGACTCCAGCCATACAAACTGTGAACGTCGTAGTGCATGTGTCTTGCTTCGTTCTGCACTGCCACCATACACAATGTTTTATCCGACAGCCGAGATCCGAATATTGCTTTCGGTTTATATGGAGGATCATCCCATCGGGAAGTTGGACAATTCAATGACCAGTAGGGTTTACTGTTCTCGTCCCAATTCCATGGATGCTCCTCGTTTGTGCCAAAGTTTGCCGGTTCGTTCATGTCTATCCACAAACCGTCGAAGGATAGGTTTTTATGGTGGTTCACAATTAAATCTCGCCAATAATCCCTTGTAGCAGGGTTCAGGAAGTCCGGGAACACAACTTTACCTTGAGGCCACACATATCCAAGCATGTCCGTCCGATTGAATTCCTGGTAATCTGGACTCGAATCTACATTGGGCCACTTAATGAATATGTCTTTCTTGACTCCTTCGTTGTAAGGGAGATAATCTGTTACATTTGTGATCAGTGCTGGATCAAGTATGATAATGGTATGCATGCCTTCGTTTTGTAACTCCTTGAAATATTTTTGAAGGCCACCAAAATTAACATCGTCTACTGTGAAGTCTCTCCTCTCGTCCATGTGGTCTATGTCAGCATATTGAACATCTTGTGGAATATCGGCTGATTTCGTTCTGTCGACGGCCTCTTTCATGGCCTGGAGACTATTGTACCCATATCGACAAAGTTGAAACCCAAGAGACCAGTAGGGTGGTAAATACGGATGCCCAATGACACTAGTGTACTGCTGAATAACCTGCTCGGGTGTCGGTCCTAGAAATATATAAAAGTCTAGAATACCTCCTATTGTTCTGTAGGTTAAAGACGGCAAAGGGTTTAGCTCTATTTCCATTGCATTACTGTTTAGAAGCAATACACCATGAGAATTTCCACTGAAATCTTCAATATTTAAGTAAAATGGATGTACGCCGTAGAGATTTGCAAAGTCTCCCCAATTCACGCCATTGTCACGGGAAAACATAGGCCAACGTTTAAATTCGAAGTCATGTTGGAACGAAAAATGTCTGTTTTCACCAAACCCATACATGTTTTTTGATGGTAACTTAACAACCATCTGCAAAAACTGTTCGGCGAAAGTAAATCCTCCTAGAGATGTATCCCAAATCGTCGTGTTAGTGCTCTGTCGTATCACTCTTACGAAAAATGATCCGTGACTGTTCTCACTGAACTCCACCCGGTAATCGTTGTCTTGTTTTTGTCTTGATATTGTAGTATTTAGCTGAACGGGAACTTCATACCTACGATATGCTAAATCCATGTACTTCAATCTCAGAATGTTTTCAGATATGTTATGCACCTGAAGTTCTACATAAGGTATATTGCCTCCGAAAAACTGCGTCTGGTTTTTCCATTCCAGTACTATGCCATCAAAATAGTTACTTAAAACTTCCAGTTTGCTTTGGAAGTATCCATGTTGGGTCTTGTTGATGTGACAGGGTGGAATGTTCTTGTGGGAGGCATCTTGCCAGATGCAGCCTCGGAGGCGACACTCTTCCTTATTTTTAGTAGAAAATGTGTCATCCATGTCTGGGTAACAGTTGATTCTTTCCAATTCATCTCTTTCTAGTTTACGTTCAGTAAGCCATTCGATATAAAACTCCTCAGTCAAGCTGAGAGATAGGTTTGAAATGACGAGAGTATTGTTTGTCTTGTAGTGATGAATATCTAGATGTTGTAAGCTGCTGTTGATATACACCATAGTGATGTTTTCTCTGATACCAAGTACACAGATTTCTCCAATAATGAAAGCCTCCTCTGTCGATGAGTAAGTGTGTCCGACCCGCATTTTCAATCCCCTCTCCGAAGCAATGAATTTGGCGGTACCATAGTTTCCGCTTTCGTATGAATCAATTGATTCGCCGTCGTCAAAATAGATGTCTCCTTCAGCCGAGGTTCGTTTACCATCAGAGGCTAATGCAACTGTAATTGAGAACGCGTTTTTTCTACTGTATACTGTAGTATTGGCAGGAGCCTGCATTGGAATCACATACCCTCCTCGAGTATGCAGTGGAATCTTCGAGTCTTGATTAACCTCAACAGTAATGTGTTGTTTTCCTTCAAATGTTGCTCCCGTGTAGAAGTCGTACCACGTCCCATGTGGTAAATAGACTCTGACTTCCGTCAGTCCTTCCTCTAAAATAGGCGATATTAACAGGGCAGGTCCCCATAGAAACTGCCTGTCTATACCGTAGGTTGCACTGTCTGTTGGAAACTCGTGATGGAGGGGTCGGATAACTGTGTTTCCCCGTATATGCGTATGGTGAAAAAGCGTATAAAGGTACGGAAGAAGCCAATATCTTGTCTCCATTGCTTCGCGAGAGGCTTTAGTGACGCTTTCGCTAAATACAGCAGGATCTTGATCTGGCTGTCCTAAAGTATTGTGGTTTCGGCTGAAAGTATAGAAAGCACCTAGTTGCATCCATCTCTTGCAAAGCTCAGCAGAAGGTTCCCCAAAGAAGCCACATATGTCTGCACCAATATATGGTATGCCAAACAAATTAAACTCTAGGATACCGATTATGGATAATCTCAAATGATCCCAATCTGCCGAGTTATCGCCTAGCCAGTGTCCCGCATACTGTCCACTGCCTGGAAAGGTCGACCTAGAAATAACAAGACCCCGCTTGCCGCTTTGTGCCATCTGGAGACCGTCTAGTGTTGGCTTAGATTGACTCCAGCCGTACAAACTATGTACATCGTAATGAAGGTAGCTGTTATCTTTGCCTTGCCTAGCAACCATACAAATCGTCTTCTCCGATATTCGATGAAGTCTGTTACCGTCGTCAGATTGAAAAGCCGCCATGGATCTATATGGGGGATCCTCATATGTGTCACCGACTTTACATTTTAAACTCCAAGCAGTAGTATTGGCTGGCCAATTCCAAGGACGCTCCTCGTTGGTACCAAAGTTTGCTGGTTCGTTCATATCTATCCATAAACCATCGAAAGAAATCTCCGTTGAGTGATTTGTAATAAGACCTATCCATACGTCCCGGGTGCTGTTTTTAAAGAAGTCAGGGAAAACCACCTTTCCACTGGGCCACACCTGGGAAAATACAACAAATGTTCATAAATACCAACGTTGTGTTTTGAATTTTCGTCGTTAAATCCTTAAGCTTTGCTTTATTTTCGATTTAAATGTGAACCATATTTTAACATATTTTTTTGCGTATTAACCCATGTTATATGACCTATCAGTCCTGTGATTGGTTGTAAGTTTCAATTGTTTCAATTGTAACGTCACGCTAGGATAAGTACGTGTCGTCACAGACTTGCGCACTGGAGTCAAAATGGCGGCTTTTTACATTTCAAGGTTGTAGGAAAATTGTCGTTATACACGAACAAATGCCACAAATCTTGATTATGTGATACAAAGGATCTTACACTTTTCATTTCATATGAAATTTATGAAACTCGTCACGAAATTTTCATTTTAGCTCGCCTCAATTGAAAAATGCTCAGACTCGTTTCATAAATCTCATATGAAATGGAAACTCATGTAAGATCCTATATTTATGCTACTGTTTTATTATAACGTCAGACATGGTAAAGTACCTAATAATTTACATAATCAGATGTAAGTACTTGTAATACGAACAGTGTTAACAAGTAAACATATTTCTACAACACTTGGTAATTAAGGAATAGTTTTATTGTTTATATAACATGACAGATAATTCTTCCACCGAGCAATCAACCAACCAGGTAATGCTACAGCTAAATTCATGGCAAAAACAGCTAAACTCATGGCAAACAGCTAAACTCATGACAAACGTTTATTATCTATACGGTTATTTCCGTCATCGCTAGGCAGCACTATCTTCTTTTCGCAAAAAGTAAATTTAGCTAAACACTCAAAAAATGTTAAACTATACTTGTATAAGAATAGCATGTAAAACATAATAAAAACTGTTCTTCAAACTATTTGATAAGGATACGAGTCTATCAGAGAAAATATAAACCATAAATTCATTTAATTATCAACGAACAAACGGTTAGATAATGATAAAAGTCAAGCATAGAAAGTATTTATTTGAAAGCAACAGTGGCCTGACCACAATAACAAGTGAATGAGCAGTCTAAAACATTACTCACATAGCCAAGAAGTGCTCCATTTTCGTCTGAGCTGCCATTTGGTACGGTATAAGACATGGGCCATTTGATGAGTCCGTCTTGTTCGCTCATTTTCTGGTATGGTGCATATGTCTTATCAGCCAAGAGACAAGGATCCTGTTTGATACAAAATGTTACAATCATACTAATTCATGTCAAACGTATCGGAAACAAAACATGAATAGTCTATCAATATTCCCGTTATAGAAAAAAACACTTTTAACTACTTTACTTCGGAACAAAGCTATATGTCATATAGTAGTGACCAAAAACCTGAATCAAAATATCACTCTTTTCATATCTTTAATTTTATCAATAAAAACAAACATGTTGATATTTTGCCTCGATTAATTTGTTCCATGGATTTATTTTCAGACATGTCAAAATATGATGGACTTGGATTTTTTAGTTGTATATGCAGCTGTATCATGCAGTATAATTAACTTTTGGCATACTGTGTACATCACCAAATTTAAAGGTGCAATCCCTGGTTTGTGTGATACGTGCATATGTTTATGCATTATGTGCAATGTACTTTAAAAACGAATAAAAAATGTGTTTTTAATCTGCTTTCACGTATGCGAAAAATACTGACGGTAAAGGGGAAAATGGGGGTGTCATCCAGTCGTACTCTACGTTATCCAACGCCATACAGGCTTTGAATCTAGCGTGGACGTCGGTCATTAACAAATCATGTCATCTTTAGTGTTATCATCTTGTTGTTTCACTCTTATCCTCATTACTTACCAGGATGATAATCGTCCGCATGCCGTTATCGCGAAGTTCGTTGAAATACTCCTTCAATCCACTGAAGTTTCCTCGGTCAATCGTGAAGTCCTTTCTTTCTTCCATATGATCTATATCGCCATATTGTACATCCTATAAGAATGAAATAATTACCTTAGTTCTGTTTGGATTATATTTTTTATTACTCATTTAGAAACTCGTGAACTTTGCCATAACCAATTTAAAGGGGATGACTACTACGTTAATAACCAATGTTTAGGATGGGCACATATCTTCAGATACTTGCCTTTCTATTTAGTTACAAAATCTATTGTATTTGTTTTAATCTTTCACTACAAATATCATATAAAGCTTATAACTATGAAGTTCTCTGGAATACTTAAACTTAAACTAAATACTTAAACAGCGAACAAATATGATTAATAACAGCTGCGAAAATCCAGGTAATTATCATACTTTAATGATAACGTATTAACGTGATTTGTGATGATTTAACGCTTGGGTGGATTTTCAATGATAAAACACCTGGGTGAATTTGTGAAAATTAAACACCTGAGTGGATTTGTGATGATTTAACACCTGAGTGGATTTGTGATGATTAAACATCAGGGTTGATTTGTGATGATCAAACACCTGGGTGAATTTGTGATAATTTAACACCTGAGTGGATTTGTGATGATTAGACATCACGGTTGATTTGTGATGATCAAACACCTGGGTGAATTTGTGAAAATTAAACACCCGAGTGGATTTGTGATGATTTAACACCTGAGTTGATTTGTGATGATTAAACATCCGGGTTGATTTGTGATGATCAAACACCTGGGTGAATTTGTGATAGTTAAACACCTGAGTGGACTTGTGATGATTTAACACCTGAGTGGATTTGTGATGATTAAACATCAGTGTTGATTTGTGATGATCAAACACCTGGGTGAATTTGTGATAATTTAACACCTGAGTGGATTTGTGATGATTAGACATCAGGGTTGATTTGTGATGATCAAACACTTGGGTGGATTTGTGATGATCAAACACCTGGGTGTATTTGTGATGATTAAACACCTGGGTGGATTTGTGATGATTAAACACCTGGGTGGTTTGTGATGATTAAACACCTGGATTGATTTGAGAGAATTACACACCTGGGTGTATTTGGTATGATAAAACACCTTAGTCGATTTGTGATGAAACACATGGGTGTATTTGTGATGATTAAACACCTGGGTGGATTTATGTTGACTTAATACCTAGGTGTACATGTTCAGCTTGATCAGCTTAATGAATCGTTAACGCAAAAACGTTAAATGCAATTTTTGAGAAATATCTTCAAATTAACGAATATTTCGTTGTGAACGATCATCACGAAATTCTCAATATTTTGTAAATATTCTGCAGTCAAATCTGTCTATAGCAACTGCTCTGGCGCATAGTAGTTTTGAGAGACGTTGATGTAAAGCTGAACATGTGTTAAACAACATGGCCATGAACCTTATTGAATACGCATTGGAGACGTAGACACATAATCATATTTAAATGGTAGATCTTGTATCATCACGCTTAAAACGATTCTTTCTTATATTTAAAACTTACAAATGGAATCTTCGCAGACACGGTCCTTTCTACAGCCGCTTGTAGATTTGATATATTGTTGTAACCATAGCGACACAATTGAAAACCAAGGGCCCAATACGGTGGCATCATCGGTCTACCGATTGCCTACAAAATTAAATTCAACTGGTGACAGAATTTCCATCAAACATTTTTATAGCCAACCACGAGGTCATAGGTAACGGAGATCATTCAAGAGTGTAGCATTAGGCAAGGAATCAATTCATACCGTGTATTAATGGAATACTTATTATTTTACCTAAGAGAAAGTTAAAAGGATTGCTGTGTAAATTATTAGTAATTATATTATGTGAGCTTGACAATAAATACTCGAACATTGATTGTAAGTAGTATTGTAATCGTGTGGACGAAGGCTTAACATAGAGAAGAGTTGCTGAATGTGGACTAGGGGGGGGGGGGGGGGGGGGGGGGGGGGGGGGGGGGGGGGGTATAAGCTTATTGGCAAAGCGTCCGTTTTTGGTTCGGAGGTCCTAGAATTGACTACTGGTACAGTTAATTGCAATATCCCCGTTCTGTAACAGGAATGCACACGCTTACACACGAACACCAAGCTAGTTATTATTCAAACACCCCTGATCACGCCAGCTGTTTACCCCTGTGTATTGTTGAATGACGTTTTCGGGCTCAGGTCCTAGAAACATATAGAAGTCCAATATTCCACCAATTGTCCTGTAGATCAGCATCGGTAAGGGGGTAAAGGCGTAGTCTGTAAAACATTAAACTTTACTACAAGAGACTTAATACAAGAGACTTACGATTGTATTTATTATGTTAACATCTAAATAAGCAGTGCTTGTAAACAACTGTGACTAAGACAGCGAATCAATGAACGTTTGAATGCTATGAAATACGTTTTTCAGTAGAACTGTTAACGGAACAATATCCAAAACACCAAAATATGAAAGCCAAAAAAGAAAATTGTCCGTACACGAAATGCATAAGTTTTACAACACCTTGAACCCTCGTTAGTTACTTTTAAGACTATCTACCTTGTGAATAACTGTTAAGAAGTACTAACTTAGAAGTAACCGTTTAGGCAAACCTACATTGGGATTTACTGTTGAGAAGTACTAAGGCCAGGAACCTTGTGAGTTACGTGTAGGAGTGTCACTGTTGCCCACATACAAGTATACCTTGTGACATGTTGAGGTGTACGTACCTTGTGAGTTACGACTAGGAGTGTCAGTATTGATAACCTACCCTGTGACATGTTGAGGTGTGCGTACCTTGTGAGTTACGACTAGGAGTGTCACTGTTGATAACATACCCTGTGACGTGTTGAGGTGTACGTACCTAGTGAGTTACGTTTAAGAGTGTCACTGTTGATCCCATACCATGCGATATGTTCGGATGTACGTACCTTGTGAGTTACTGTTGAGAAGCAGGACTCCGTGCGAATGTCCGTCCTCCTCCATACAGGTGTAGAAAGGGTGAACACCATACAGATTCTTTGCATCCCGGGGATTCTGGTTTGTCGAAAATGGCACAATTTTTGGTAAAAGACATATCCTGATGTCATTGTTTACAACAAAGAATGCTGAGTTTTGTTCGAACTTATGAACTTTCAATAGCTACCTCCTAACATGATCTGCTGTAGGAATATGTAAATGGAAAGAGATCTATTTCGCTGCGGGCCGTTAAACATTTTGCCAACTTTGATTTTTGTCAGATATGAGAACTAGGTTTAGGTTGGGCATATTTGTTCCCTTTCGGTTCTCTTTTACACAAAACTATTGAGAGTAGTGAAATAAATGCAGGTAACATTAACTGCGTCACCATAGTATTGCATGATTAAAAGTTGTTTATATAGTCGATTTATGTTCAGTATATCAAATCTTCTCCTTTTTGAAAATGAAGGCTAACAAACTTATAAGCAGAAAAGTATGTAAGCTATTACTAATGATATCATTCGTACTTTGCCCGATCCTGGAGGTTGGTCCCTAGCAAACATCGGCCACATAGTCCAGTCCAAGTCGTGCTTAAGGGTCGTGTGCACATTCTCTCCGAATCCATACACGTTCCTAGAGGGAAGCCGAGATGCGATCTGAAGAAACTGGTCCTCAAACGTCAGACCCCCTACGCTCGTGTCCCACCTGGTGAAGATTTTACATATCATCAAAACGTTTTACTGTTATTGAAAATTGTTTGGCGGTATTTCGTGGGCACTTCGTTGATTTAATGTCTTATAACAACTTACAAATCAAGGCGCAAAGGTCGAGTGAATCTAAGTAAGGATCACGATCAATTTCGAAACGACAAATTCTTGGAATTTAATTACGGTATGATGGAATGATATCCATTCCAGCTTCCATTAAACCAGTAAGAACTGTTGAGATACTTACAAAATTGTTCCTGTGCTTTTTCTTTTCACTTGGAAATGAAAAGGATTTTTACTGGTCATGATGATGTCGTAGCGAGGATCTGCAGGGCGTCTAACGGGAGTAGGGATATTCATTTTCATTGGAACTTCGTAACGGGAGTTTGATGGATCATATAGCTGTAACACCAGTAACATTATGGTAAATAGTTTCATATACAGATGTTTGTGTAGATGTCAAATGTACGCGTAACCATTTTGCTGTGTTTACTGTAACAGTATATTATTAAGGACATCTGTCCCACTTAAGGCAAAACACTAGAGAATGATCACATATTCTAAAAGCTAACATTCAAATAACAAGCCATTTGGATTGATATGTCTCGCCTGTGCACCGCTTTGACCATCAATGCACCTGTCAAGTTTGGTTGGTCTAGCACTTATAGTTTCAGAGAAACTAGCTGAAATGCAAAAACTTCATGTTGATGGAGATGCTGACAATCAAATTCGACCATTAAAGGTAGGCCGCATCAAACATTTGATGCATGGGTTGAGATGTACTACCTAAGATGGTCCAAGTTTGGTTGGTCTAGCACTTATACTTTCAGTGAAACGCAAAAAACTTAATGTTGACGCCGCCGTGACCGGAAAATCAACACCTTAGTATCGCTTCCGGTACTTCGTTGCGGCGAGACAAAAACATGCCTGGCGCCCGAAAACAATCATTGTTCAGCAGACATGTTTTAAACTAATATACCATTGTATGGCCTCTCGTGACTATACGTTATTTTCTGTATTTTTAGTAACAGCAAACTTCGTGTTGTTTTTTGACATTCTTTTCGGGGTTAGAATTGGCGAAATGTTGATACATTCATTTCATCAGAATTGGAAGATTTCATGTGGAAATGTCGCTATAACAGGTTTCATAAATTTTACCTTAAATCTCAATATGGCGTTATCTAACATTTCCACAGCAAAAGTAACTTTACTGATAGGATTAGGAAATGGCGCCTTTCCCTTCCACGTTAAGTTGACTGTCCAGCCTGTTGCTGTTTGCATTTCATCTCCAGCAGTATAGCCATAATCTGGTGGAAAGTAGCAATCAGGCGCGTCGGAGTCCGTTGGATGGAACAAACATTTACGTTTGGAACACCTTTCTTCGGTAGCTTCAAGTTGACCTCCGAGACGTTCCGGATAGCAGTCAATCCTATTAGTACCATCACTGTAATATATAACAAAGAATTGACATATACGAAACATGATATGTGCAACACTTAGTAGACAGGATTGATGGTTAACACTTAGAAGTGCAAATTCATTGTTTCAATTGATATGGAAATTAATTTTGTGATGAAAGGAAAAATACCTACTGCCAAGTTAACTTAAAATCAGTGTTTAGCGGCAGCTTCAGATTCCTTATATCCAGAACCTAAAAACGAAAGAAAACAATCATCATGACAAATAAAAACAAATATAATGCAATAAAGCAACGTGATAACAGGACTACCACCAACAGTACACAAAAAGTTAAAAGCAAAACAAAAAGGTCGCATTACTTTTATATAAACGATATCGTGAAATTTCGAGAAAGAATACATTCAAGACATTTGATCGCTTTAACATACATAAATGAAATATTTTCAAAGCATACACAATGGTTTATCAGAAGTACTGATAGTCAGTCAATACACAATACTATTCCACTGTACGCCGAATCAGTGTCATGCATCCAAACACAAACGAACAGTGTCATGCATCTAAACACAAACGAACAGTGTCATGCATCCAAACACAAACGAATAGTTTTATGTCAGGCAGTGAATATAAAAATGTATAAACAGCAAACACACAATTAAAAAATCCTATTTGAACTTTGAAAGAAAGAAATGTTGGCGTTATTACATACATGACGTCTCCATCTACCACTCTGTTACTGAAACAAATTGATTCTTTCCTAGTATACCTTTTGTGTGGCGTCGTACGTAAAGTTGGAGTGGTATTTGTTGGAGGTTTGTATAAGGATGTTGTGCACATGAGTAGTCACGCCAAAGACTTGGACAGTGTCCAGTACCAGGCTATTAGCCCACTCTCGTTGTCCCTCAGATATGTACATCGACAAAGTTTGCTGTAACGAGGACATGTAACAGAAGTACGTACTACATTCAGGTTAAACGTTAACCTCCTGAGAGTATTAATGAGACTCAGAAATAAAATATATCTCTGGTGAAGAATTTGATTTCACAAACAAATCTGATACAATACTTCATGTATGACGTTGTCAATGTATAACAATACAGTAAAAGAATACAGCACAATTGTTTCTTAAATTGCCGATAACAAAGAAATGTTTTCAAATTATTACAATGTGTTTAGAATGAGAACATTATAAACGCCTGTCATTTCATTAGCAGAATTCGTCCTTACTTCACAAATGTTATATTATGGTAGTTTATTTACTATGCTATCCTGTTTATGCTTACATTTTCAGCACGGAACTGCGTCAATGTGTAGTTTCCGTTTTCATATGTATCTGTAAAAGTTCAAAGATGGCATCGAATCTGATTGATGATAGATGCAACACACAATTCGATTGGTATCGAAATAATATGCAGCCCCAAACTGAGATACAATGTCCAGATTTGTATATGAAGTCTGGGAGGCGAATGACCCGACACGTTATGAAGACAAATAGCGTTACACCAAAATGTTACTTTAATTACGATAGCGCTCTTTGTTCTTGTTTAACACTTAGTTGGCAGTGTACAAACCGATGGAAGCTCCGTCGTCCCAGAACAGTTCACCAGTGGCTGATCCTCCTTCCTCGTCGGGTCTGTCTAGAGCAACCAGTAACTTCATCGCATTCAGTCGACTGTAGGCAAGAAAATATGTCCATGTCAAGTTAAACAATGTCATGATATAATTTAAATATCTTTTGTTGTAAAAGAAAACAAAAGCGATTGGATGAAACATTATATCAAATTAAATTACTTCATGTCACAGATTTTTCTTTGAGAAAAGAGTACAGATTTTTTGCAGTAAAAAGTTTCAATGTTTACTGGCATTGGTAAATCTGCAACTTTTCCTAATTCAACTGGTAGAGTACAAACTTACTAAAACTATAAAATATGCAGACATCTATTCCAATGTAGAGTTTCATATCTTCTTACTTTGATACCTATTACTAAATCTTAAAGGTGCATCCACCCGTATGTGTCTTGCGTTCATCTTTCTATATTTGCATTGGTGATTTAACCCTTTCACCACTGTAGGCCATAATGGACTAATCCAGATGAATGTATGGTAGAGTCTACTCAAGTTAACTAGGGGTGAAAGAGTTAAATGTTGTATTTTAGAACTCCGATATAATGTGGACTTTAATTTGCCAATATGACCATGAACTTTAACAACTTCGTTTGAGATAATGGGTATATTATTGTTAAATATCGATATACTATACCAGTGTGACCAAAATAAATGCGCGTTTCTCTGAACATAATTCAATTCTAAAATAATTGTAAAATAGGCAAAATTTTGAACGTAATAATATACAACAGTAAATAAACTCGTGCTTTTAAATATTTGTACAGTGTTTGCAATAAGCAAGTTTAAAAGCGGAAAAGAATGATTCATAATAAATAAAAAAATAAAAATGAGAGCTGGCATGTCAGCCCTCCGTTGCAGGGATGCTATATTATGAGGGTACTGTCCATGGAAGTAGCTACGGTCTATGAGACATATACAGTTATCTGGAACAGTTATAGGAAAATAGTTTTTGTCAGGGTTTTAACTGCAGATCTTTACGTCATTCCTCTTTACAGCAGTTTGGTAATTAGAACATGTCAAATGATACAAATTCAGTCTACACGTGCCTGTATGTGGTGTTTCGTGCTGGTTCCTGCATGGGGAGAATACTTCCACCACGAACGTGAAGAGATATTGGTGAATTGGAGTCAACTGCTACTTTGTTCAAATGTGGTCCTTCCACAAAGATCCCTGGCTATAAAATAAAGTACAGAAACTGAGGAAACGCATTTGCACTTGTATGATATATACCTTACTGCGTTAACAAGCATGATACATGTAAGACCCAAGAAGATAAATGCATTTTAAATACAAAGCATTCAAACAATAACGTGAATGTTATGATACGGTAACTCCACGGACAATTTTTCATCAATAATCAACTGCTTATTTTACCTTGTAAAAGTCGTACCATCGGCCTTCCGGTACATAATACGTCAGTTCCGTCTGTCCCTGATAAAATGAAAGTTTTGTTAGGTGTACGTCCTTAACACAAGTTTCATCTCGATGGCTTAACGTTTGCCAAAACTATTTACGCGCGGATATTATCGTTATTGAAACCTTATTATTTTATTTCTATCGCCTAATGAACTCATCGACAGTAACAGCTCATGTGGTGAAAAAACTATTCCGCTTTACTTATTATTATTGCCTACAACAGGCTTCTAAGGGATGCGACGTATTTTGTCAACTAATTTAACATCTTTAGTTTGCATCGATGTTCAGTAATAACGAGACACCAAAACGAAATATATAGTTATAATGTGTGTATTACTACCTGTTCTAATATAGGTGAGATGAGGAGAGACTTCCCCCACAAGAATTGCCGGTCAATTCCAAGAGCTACGTCATCCATTGGAAACCTGTACACAAGATAAGAATGACGATGCGATACTCCATTCAGTGACAAGCGGCAAATAACTTGAAAGAGATTTGACTTAAAACAGCATACGCATTCCGTTTTGAAAATTCATGATATTGTTTTGTAATATTTTACAAAGCGATTGAAGATTTTTGAGAAAATTGCAACCGCTTACTTCTCTTCTTACTGAGTTCAACGACCTTACATTAATTTTAGAAGAAAAGGTTTGAAGTATCGTGCTCTGTTGAATATTAGTGCCTTGTTTTGATGTTTTATAAGGTTGTCTATTTTTGGTAATACCTACTCGTGATGTACAGGTCTGACTACTGTGCTTCCATGTACGTGCGCGTTGTGGAACAATGTGTACAAGTAGGGAAGGAGCCAGTAACGTGTCTCTAGGGCTTCACGTGCTGCCGTTGCGACCTCCACTCCTAATGCGCCCGGATCCTGTTCCTGTGTCATACACAACCAGTGTAGTTAGATGTATATGTAAGGTAAATTTTTTCAATTGAAAGACATCGTTATGTCCATTCTTCAAATAAGAGATATCGCATTTGAAAGAAAGCATCTCACTTCTCAAGGTATTTCAAACATTTAAGTCTGACCGTGAGCTAAAGAAAAGGAAAGAAAAAAGAGGCAGAAGTCGTGCTTTTGATTTCCCAGAGTGCTAGTAAGCAGTTACGATGACGCTCATTACTTAACAAACAACAATGTTTAAAGTTGTCGTCAATTTAATATACTAATGATGACTCAGGTTTAGTCATATCGAAATTCAAACTCTGGAAAATATCTAGGAATCTACCAGTACGATTGTTTATACACAGCTAGTAGAATAGCTATGGAATACGTTGATTTTCGTTATTCAAGTGACTTGAAGAATATATAAATACAATAATTCGCAATATCAGTATGCACAACTAATATCTACATAAAAAAGACATCATTATCATTTAAACCACCCTTATCAAATTGTAATATGTGTGCAATTAAAGCACTTCGCTACTGGTAACAAACTTACTACAGTAGAATCGATTGTGTTGTGGTTCCTGGAGAAAGGGTAAAACGCTCCAAGCTGCATCCATCGTTTACATAACTCTACCGTAGTGTCACCAAAGAAGCCGCATATGTCTGCTCCAATCTGTCAAGCACAACAGTCAGGGGTTAAACAAGACAATCTGTCAAACACAACAGTCCGAGGGTAAAACAGGTCAAGGTAAACTTATACTGCATATGTCTGCTCTAATCTGTCAACCACAAGACAGGGGTTAAACAGGACAATCTGCCAAACACAACAGCCAATGGGTTAAACAGGACAAGCTATACTGATACCGCATATGTCTGTTCCAATCTGTCAACCACAACAGTCAGGAGGTTAAACATGTCAAGGTATACTGTTACCGCATATGTCTGCTCCAATCTGTCAACCACAACAGTCATGGGCTAAACAGGACAATCTTTCAAACACAACAGCCAATGGGTTAAACAGGACAATGTATACTGATACCGCATATGTCTGCTCCAATCTGTCAACCACAACAGTCATGGACTAAACAGGACAATCTTTCAAACACAACAGCCAATGGGTTAAACAGGACAATGTATACTGATACCGCATATGTCTGCTCCAATCTGTCAACCACAACAGTCAGGGGGTTAAACAGGACAAGGTATACTGATACCGCATATGTCTGCTCCAATCTGTCAACCACAACAGTCATGGACTAAACAGGACAATCTTTCAAACACAACAGTCAATGGGTTAAACAGGAAAAGGTATACTGATACCGCATATGTCTGCTCCAATCTGTCAACCAAAACAGTCAGGGGGTTAAACAGGACAAGGTTAACTTATACCGCATATGTCTGATCCAATCTGTTAAACACAACAGTCAGGGGGTAAACAAGACAATGTAAACTTATACCGCAATTATAGTATATAATCTCACATGAAGTTTCCTATTATTGTTTGATTAATCACACAATAACAAAAACGGAAACAAAAGGACGTAAATGTGAAAAAGGGGGGAGGGTATTTTGCACAGACGAATAACATGATAAGAAAAAATTGAAATTTAGAGGATAAAATAATAAACTTAACGATTAAGTAACAAACGATAGTACTTACGTATGGAATCCCAAACAAATTGAACTCCAGCATGCCTGTTAAATATATAAATATACCATGTACATTTATGTTATGTTGATTCATTACTGCTCATTAATAAATCTAATATTGAAAATACGGAGATATGACTGCATAATATTTTCTTCGAAATATGTCTTCAGACACTTTTACCGATCATGCTTCAATAATCTTCAGAAAGAATATGACGTGTCTGCCTTCAATAAAAACATTTACCCTCACTTAGACTGTCTCTCCTCCATCAAACATCGGTAGCAGACCCTTGATTATCATCATTATTCGCCGCACATGCTTGACTTTCAATTCTGATACACTGCAAATTTTGATGTTTTTATTTTCAAGGCCTGCTAATTCGACCTTTCAATCTATTTTTACAGATCGCATGGTAAATCGTGAGAAAGAGAAATCTTACCGATGATGGATGATGCCAAACCCGGCCATGCGCTGTCATTGTCCCCTAGCCAATGTCCCACATACTTGCCACTTCCTGGGAATGTATTCCGCGACAGTACCATGCTACGCTCACCACTGGCTTCCCGCAACGCACTGGATAAAGACAGTAAATATACATGTTCACAAACTAGTCCAAGGAAATGTCGGTATCTAGAGTTGACTCCCTTAGTTTACACATTGTTTCCCATATCAAACTATGACACGTGAAAAAGTTCAAATTTACTATTTCTGGAGACAGAAGTGTCTTAAACACGTGTTTCTGTGTCCATTCGAATATTTGATCATTTCCATTTTTTTTGGTATTCTAAGTATTCTAAATAAAACGCTACAGATTTTCGCAATGCATATGATAAAACACCCTTCGTTACATATGTTCCCATAGGTAGATATCTGCTTTGTTATAAAGACAGTCAGGTGTATTTACCTGATTGTGGGTGGGGACTGCCTCCACCCGAACAGACTGTGAACATTGTAATGTAGTAAGTCGTCAGTATCACCCTGTGTAGCCACCATACACAGTGTCTTATTTGACAAACGGGCGGCAGCGTCCTTATAGTCGTCTCCGTCGTGGACGTATGCAGCCACTGAAACGTTAATGTAAAAGTGTATCACATACCCTAATTATTGCATTAAGTCAGTCTCACTATTTCCAAATATGTAACTTAGATTTATATATTTTAATAATATTGTCTGTGTGATTTATATAAAAAGGGCATTTCAGCAGAAAAACATAAGTTTAGTTATCATACTACGTGTTTTCTTTATTGACAGATATATATAGAGCATCAAACAAAGCAGCTCCATGGCAACAGCAACAACAGCAACGAAAATCTTATCATCGCAACGTGAAATTAACATAATTATAGTAACGAGGTGAAACACTGTTTTATCCTATTCTTATATATTCTTACATATTAAAGAACAATTTCAACAAAAGTCAAAAGCATCATGAGATAATATCTTCATAAAAAATGTCGTCCATGTTGAACTATTACAATAATGATATTATCAGATTTCAATACATATATTTTATTGTAAAAATAAACAGAGTGGATTACATACAAGGTTATATAGAGATTTTTCCAAATGCTAGTTTAAGATACTGAACAACTATTGGAAATAAAACCTCAGGGTCTTGCGTCACAATTAAGCATCGTAAAATGTCATAAAACACACAAGACACTTCAGTTAACGAAATCTCCTATTGTCATAGCGGTAACATTGACTTTCTTGTTCTTACTTGTTCGATATGGTGGATCATCGTATTGACTCCGGGGACATTTCAGTGACCAGTGCGGCTTGACGTTTTCGTTCCAGTTGAACGGCCTATCCTGATTCGTACCAAAATTTGCTGGTTCGTTCATATCCTACAAAGCACAAATCAAATTAACCACCGATAACATATTCAAATCTGAACAATATGTTGTATTCCAAAGAGTGTCAGTTTACACAGGTTTCAATCTAGTATGGCTACAAAATGACCTCGTTCAGTGAATAATTAACAATAATGGAAATATATAAATGAATAATTTTTATTTTTAGTTAGCCACGAACATCATTCACAACTAAAGAAAGTGAAAAAGTCTAACAAAATTCATCCCACTGCTTCAACTTCGGATATATAACAATTAGCACCAAATCTTTTGTAAATCTTAGTGACGTTGTCGTTAACTTTGAACCGACACTTTAACTCGTAAAAGGCATGTCCAACAAAAATACACCTACGATGAAGTTAATAATAATCTGTTACGAAACATGACCGCTAGAGTGATTACGACGAGTACGGCGGTGAAACTCAATTTTAATAACAGTGATCATGACCTTTGACCGATCAAGCCCATATTCAAAATTATTCAAATTATGTCCAATATGAACATAACTGTGAGGTTTCACCAAAGCAAGTCAAGAAATAAAGCCGCCACAGTGATGGACAGATGGAAACACAAACACTTGGATGGACAAACAGACAGGGCAAAAACATAGCAGCACCGTTTAATAACATAACTGTTTTGATATATACTGACTTATGTTAAGACCAAATACGAATCTGCAATTAATGCTGTGTGGTATGAAACTAAATATGTATTTGCAATTAAAACTTTTTTACTTTCTGTCAAAAAGTGGAAATAAATTAGCTCATCATAGGACACTCACAATCCACAAGCCGTCGAAGATCAATCGTTTCCTATGTTCTTTCACAAGAGATTTCCAAAGCTGACGAGTTGAATTCTTGAAAAAGTCTGGAAACACAACTTTTCCGTTCGGCCATACCTGAATAATTGAATCAAAAATACTTAACAAATTATTTCAGATAAAACGAAAAAATAAAAAGACAAAACCAGTTCTAGAATGGAGCGATGGGTGAAGCGTATTATGTTGAGGAAAAGGAAGAAAATTATTTGGTTAGCGTTTGTCAATGAAGTTAACACATTTATTGCACGGCTAAAATTAATAGCATCTTTCACTATGGGTGGAAGGGGGTCTTAAGCATCAAATAACGAGGCTTACCGAGTGTGATTCCCAATCTCACCTAAAAGCAGTGAATGATTCTTTTTCTCTTACCCTGTTAACTATGTCATATTCATAACGCAAGGTTGACATTGTCAAGAAACATAGATGCATTGATGACGTGACGGCATTATATTGTTGACGTGATGCCATACATATATTTTGAATGGGAAATCTCCCGTCTAAACCCTACAGTGAGACAAGGATTTTACCTGTCCAGGGTAAGAGAGAGAGAAACAAAAAGAAAAAAAAGGAAATCAACAACTAACGAGTAAGCTAGAGTTGTACATACGTAACCAAGGATCGCTCCAGTGACGTCTTTGGTATCGTTCTCCACTCCACCATGCCACATCACTCCTCCTCTGATCTGACTAAGACGATCATATGGTTCGTAGCCGCTCACATTACTGACAAAACACGGGTCCTGTAACATATAGCACGAACAGCTACAGCACATTGTAACACAACAAGCAATTGTCATACATCACGTCTCGCAAAAACGTTTGCAATGTTCTGGTTGGCTTTACTTTGTGAAGTCACAGAATCGAAACAAGTGTGTGACGTCACAATGTTTTCGGACATGTAAACCTACTCAATGAATGTGCAATGGTGGTATTTCGTACAAAGGATGTCTACGCCAGCGGCATCTGACAAGAAACATTAAAAAGCTGTTATTGACTGATTCCTGATGAAACAGATCAACTATATCTTTAGAAAACTACTTGATAAATAAACAGTATAAGTATCTGCAGTCGATATTTCTTTATTCAAAAATAATAAAAAAAAGAACTAAAATAATGATGTTCTTACCAACATGATAACCGTCCGCATTCCCCCATTTCTGAGAGCAGTGAATGAATCATTCAAACCGGCGAAATCCACGTTGTTGACGGTGAAATCCTTGGAGTTATTCATGTGGTCAATATCGGCGTATTGTACATCCTAAACACAACATGTGGTATTATTGTCACCTTCCTAACAACATACATGCTGTCATCACATGATGACAAAACTAAATACCGAAGCATCAACACGCACGTACAGCATACACATATAGGTCAACACACAATAGCAAAAGATACCGCAGCGTTAAATGACAAGAATGAACCCAAAAACTTAAAGCTGAGACGAAAAGACAACAACAGAAGCTGGTGATATAACAAAGAAAAGGTAAAACCGGGTAACCCATAACAGTAAACTTTTCCAGAACCAGGTGTGGCACTTGTCAGGATATCTCCCGTCAAAGGAAGTAGGTCACCAACAATATGTGACACAAATAACACGTTTATCAGGATACCACTGAAATGAAGATTATTAATCAACAATACGCATTTGTCCAGGGAATCCTTAGACTGGTAGGACAGGCAGAGTAGAGAATCGTTATTGAGAGGCTAGGTATTGTGATTCAATCATAGTTATAATGTTACTCTTGAATTGAGGAAAAGTGAGTAAAGTAGTAGCTAGTAAAGACAACATAAAATCATTGTCTTGATTGAAATAAAATGATCACAGGTAACATTGGATAACGTGGAACATTTTATAGTAATGTTCAACATGACAGCAACATGTTGAAATTGCCATTCAACCTGGTATTTCTTTTGATATCTTACATATAGATACAAGTATACACAGTGTCCTGGACTGTATTAATGTTTAAAACCATATTGATTTGAATTACAATACTGAAAAAGAAAGATCAGAAAAAGATGCTAGTAGAAAAATAGGCAATTACCCACACAACTACATATGTTAGACCTTTAAAACGAAAGACTAATTACCTTGGATACTATACTTCATCTGAGGTATTACAATGTACTTACATGAGGAATCCCATAATCCCGTGTTCTGTTGACGGCAGCTATCATATTCTCTAAACTATTGTAACCATAGCGACAGAGCTGGAATCCTAATGACCAATATGGCGGCATAAAAGGTCTCCCAATCGCCTTAGAGAGTAAAATAGAAATTAAAAAAACAAGTATAGAATCGGAACTCTTGAAAGATCGAATCGAACCTGATGACTCGGACGGAAAGGCGTTTTCTAGTCAATTTATGGCAAATCCGTTTCAGCGGTTACCTGTTACGTTTCCTTCTCTAATGATAAAATAAGTTTGGACAATCACCTGTGTGTACTGCTGGACAACATTCTCTGGGGAGGGTCCAAGAAACATGTAGAAGTCTAGTATGCCCCCTATCGTCCTGTAGGTCAACGTTGGTAGGGGTGTAAACGAGTAATCTAGAGAACAAATTAAAAACACATAGAAATCTTGGTACGGGAGAAACACATGCTATTACTTAAATAAAAATCGTGGTACAATAATGATAGACTGATTTCAAAGCTCAAAATATTATTGTTTGATAGGATCATGTTAATTGTATGTCAGTTTATCCTCTGTGTGTAATAGACACAGTCACTTTTCATACAAACGACAGTTTTGTGGGGATACATTTCATGAAGGAGAAAGTCCGATGTTCATGTTTGGAGTCCATGGTTAGGAAGTAAGTTTTATGACGGAGGTTATGACACAGGACGAATAGGTTACACAAACTGTCGTCAAGAGATGCATTAATCTTGCTGAAAGCCATTTTTATTTATTTATTGAGTTAGCGATGTGGGAATTCCACTGATACAAGTTAACGTGACATCCCAACGCGGGTCTGAACACCTTATCTAAACACGATCTGACTTCTTTTTCTTTTTTTGTAAGATTAAAGAATTCCAGCACAGTTAAAGGTGTTTTGTGTCAGACAATTGTTTGACATCATTCTTAATACGAATATTGCCGAGGAGAGATGACACCTGAATTATCATTGCCACTTATTTATAATGTCCTGCAGTGCGAGTACCCAGCAACCCCGGTACGTAGTATAGCAAAATCTCGATATAATCCCCCTTGCTTCAACTGCCAGTTAGATTACCGATAATGTAAAAGCCCCCTTTCATATTTCTTCACAATTTCTTTTTTGTCTCCCTCACACCTTGGCTGGACACCTAGTGGCAGTGTAACAAATTCTGACTATTAAAATGTATGAGATTGTACATGAATGAGAAAGAAGGAATAAGGGTTAGTTTTCGCCTTCAGTTTGAGGTTATGTGCGTCTAAAAGTTGTTCCTTTCTTTAATTCATTTGAAAATATCACTGCCGAAATGCATACAATAATAGAGCACTATTTGTAGGAAGATCATTGAAAGCCTAGTCGACAGCCTCCGGCCCATACCCAGGGGCTTGATCTGTTAACATCTAATAGTATAGTATTCAAAATATGTCACTTAGAGAGAGTGCATTTCGATACTGATAATGTTTTAGAATTCAAATATATTAATTAACATATGGGGTCAATTAAACACCCTAAAAAAAAACTAAAAAAAAACAAAAACAAAAAAACTTTAACACTTTAAGGTTTGGCAACGTATTGATAGGCGCAGGTTGGCCAACCGTTGACGGATGCTACTTGCTACCTGCTACAGGGTTTTAAATATAATTGTAAATATATTGTTGATTTTACTGACTCATGTGTATATATGTGAAAGAAAAAAAGAAAACTTCTAGATGTGAAGTTGCAAAAACAAATGATAGATAATTGATTGATAGTGCTGCAAATAGAGAAATGAGAATAAAGAAAATATCAAAGCAACACTACAAGCGACAGGTACTTATAAATATCTCGTTATTATAATTATTCCGTACGTTATATACTTATATACCAAAGTTTGCAGATGACTTTTGTATTAGATATATTAGCTTGAAGGTACAAAATACAAATTCTTTTTCGGATTTAACAAATGCCAGAAACTGGTAAGACTATCACATGCAAAACAGTTCACCAACTGATAACGAAATCACATGTCAACCAAACCAATCGATAACTTAACCTGATAATACCACAGTAGGGTTGTAATGGTTCAGCTTTGTATTAGCTTTTTCCCCATTCATTATTTTGTTTCTATTATATGTGTATTTCATGTCAGCTGTTCGTCATTAGGCCAGGACCTGTACATATTAGCATAATATTTTTGTATGCGATCTTTACATTAATATAAGACCTAAGTTAACTTCTCTGTGCATATCCTGATGAAGTATACTTATAAGTTGTGCTAACATTATTATTTTTTACTTTCATAAAGATTACTTGGTAATTAACACTTTAAGGTTTGGCAACGTATTGATAGGCGCAGGTTGGCCACCCGTTGACGGGTGCTACTTGCTACCTGCTACAGGGTTTTAAATATAATTGTACATATATTGTTTGTTTTACTGACTCATGTGTATATATGTGAAAGAAAAAAAAGAAAACTTCTAGATGTGAAGTTGCAAAAACAAATGATAGATTATTGATTGATAGTGCTGCAAATAGAGAAATGAGAATAAAGAAAATATCAAAGCAACACTACAAGCTACAGGTACTTATAAATATCTCGTTATTATAATTATTCCGTACGTTATATACTTACATACCAAAGTTTGCAGATGACTTTTGTATTAGATATATTAGCTTGAAGGTACAAAATACAAATTGATAAGAGGTGTGCATTTCTCCAACTTTCAAAATAAACTTTGCAAAAAACTGAGCAGTAGGACACAAATCAAAAATGGATTTACCAGGTCAAGAGTAAAGTACAGAGAGAAAAGTAAACATACAGTGAAACTTTAAACGTCTACTTCAACTCTAACTTATTTCAACAATTTTTCATCTGTTCAAAACATTAATGACATAAGAATGCATATTTATATCTATAGAAATGACATAAACTAGTAAGAGGAAAGTGGGAGAATATATCGCCTTCGTGAAGGAAACAGCCTACCCGTAAGTCAATCAAATGACAACATTAGGACTTGAATCAAAATGCGAAACCGATATTCGGTAAGGGTAAGAGGTCCCTGCACCACATGATATATCCGTCTTGTTGGAACTATCATGCTACAAGTAATCAACCAAGCTACACTTATTATTTTATCCTCCCATGTGAAATAAGGATAGTGGGCATCTGCTATTCTTTGTTCAGGTATTTAATGAGCTATCTTGCCTCTGTTGTGTCAAAAGAAAATATTCTAATATTCTAAAACGAAAATACTCAGCTGCTACTAATAACGGAAATATATCTAAAGTTTGTGTCTTAATGATGATGATGGTATGGGTGATACCAAGAAATGGTTTATATTTCAATATATTTACAATATTTGACGACAGAATGAAAATCATAAGAAAATAGGCTGCAATTTATATTATTTGCTGACTCATAAAAACATTTTTTTACCAGCCTGATAATGTGCGCATTGTATGTACGTTTGTTTGAGGTTTAACGTCCTCGCAACAGCCAGGGTCATATCAGTACGGTGCATAGGTACACCAATAAATAACATATCAAATAACACGGGGAAATAGAAACCTCTCCATGTAAACAAGTGTGTGAGACATGGCATACTTCAGTATGTGAATAAGCTCTGTTTTAGACCAAAGAGCAATGTCAGCTCCTTTATATATATTGGTGTATTCTGATCGATCCTAATATTTTACTCCCTGCCTTTTTTCGGTTATATCTCCTCTCTAAAGTTGAAACCAATATAAAAACGCCAGTCAAAACTGACAGGAATTCACCAGCGTCTTGTTTACGGAGAGAATCATTACTTGAAGCTGTCGCTGTATGTAGATGAAAATGAGTAATTGTTTGATTTACGAGAGTCCTTCGCGCTGCTCACGTAATCGTTTTGATCTATGGTGTTTAATTTTCTGATAGTATGACTACAATACCTCATTTTATATGTCTTGATCCCTTGGTCGTGATATATAATTTTTGAAGTTTGATTATGATTTTTTTTATTATTATTTTGTTGCTTAGTTTCGTTTAACATGTGCTTAATCAGAACGTGACTTTGCTTGGATTTTAACTTAAATTTTAAATGGTGAGTATCGTCAATGCTTACGACGGTTACCTTTCCAGAATATCTAATCTTATCCTCCAGTTGCTTTTTAAGGGTCTCCATGTGATCTTTCATTTGTTCATACTCTGTCCTAGTTTATCGATTTTTGAGTTCAAATTGTGGTTGTGTTTACGTTTCGTGTTCTATCTCTTTTATTATTATTCATGTTAGTTTACTTATTTATTTTCAGTATTTTTACTACGTTTAATAGCTTATTAGTTTAAACTGTGTAAACAACCTTCTTTACGATTTGTCAAGTTCTAGGAAGTTAATGTGATTAATTCAGTGCTTCACGTCATTTTGTTTTACCTGAATACTACAAACAGGTAGTGTTATTCTGTAAAGACGACGTCACCTTCATAGTGAACATGGTGCTGCAGTTATGAAGTTTGTATGTGGTTTAAATGTATCAAAGACTGTCACCCTGCCTTAGATCGGACGTCTGATCTTACTTTGGGGTGTCATGATGTCTTTTGTTCTGCTCTAGTGGCTCCTCAATGTCATATTTTTATTTTATTTTATTTTATTTTTTTTATTTTTTTTGCTTGTTTTTTGGGGTTTTTTTGCTTTCGATATTTAACTCATCTTAGTCACAGATATAGTCATATCTGCCTGTATACCACATGTGTGTATGCGTAGCTACTATCTGTCTTTATGTTAACATAGTACGCCCCAGTTTCACCAGCGTGCCTTAACTTTATAAGGAAATTCCTGGTTTTAAGTTTTTCGCTATGAAAGCATTATCATAGCTAAGAAAACATCTTAGGCGTAGGATGCTTTCCTTGGCAAATCTTAAACTGGGATCAGGAAAATAATCCACTTTTCTGATTTATAAGACTGAGCGCATGACTGCCATCATTTTGATACCAACTATAGTTTTAATGTATAACCCTTGATCAAGTGAATAAATAAAATAAAGAAATAAAATCGTGACTGGGATTACTTAACTTTATAGTGATAGTCAAAAAGCTATCTTACATAACAAATTGGGCTTTTGTTATTTAGAATGACTAGAAATGATTTGCGCCAAAAACTGTCAATATTTATTTTGTCATTAGAAGATGTTAAACCTATTTTGATTACTCAAAATTCGACAGGATTATTGTAGCATATTGCTTTAGTTGTCGTCAAATCTAAGAAATCTAATGATAACTACGTTTTTGTTAAAATCTTCAATACCATTGCTATAATTTGAAAAAAAATACCACTTGCCTGAGAAGAATACAAAGTTCTTTTTCGGATTTAACAAATGCCAGAAACTGGTAAGACTATCACATGCAGAACAGTTCACCAACTGATAAAGAAATCACATGTCAACCAAACCAGTCGATGACTTAACCTGATAATACCACAGTAAGGTTGTAATGGTTCAGCTTTGTATTAACTTTATACACATTCCATTATTTTGTTTCTATTATATGTGTAGTTCATATCAGCTGTTCGTCATTAGGCCAGGACCTGTCCTTATTAGCATAATATTTTTGTATGCGATCTTTACATTAACATGCATTTTATGAGACCTGAGTTAACTTCTCTGTGCATATCCTGATGAAGTATATTTATAAGTTTGTGCTAACATTAAATTACAAGTCTTTTGAGGGTAAAAAACAATATTTAATTAATGGGTTTTTGGGTTGTTTTTTTCAAATAATCATATGTCTCGTGTAAACTTAAAAGATAGGAGAGATGTAGCTTTTCCCAAGCGCGAGTGGAATGACAAAGTACACATGTCCCCGAGAGGCTAAGTGGGGTAGTAAGCATGCGATACCTCAATTGTTAGGTAACATCTAGATAAGGTGTTTGACATAGATATCTTATAGTTTGCTAATCAGGACAGCTAAAAGCGTTCTGTATTCTGCACAATTTTCACCGGTAAAATAGTCCAAACACCGGATGCCAAAATCTCCCGGCAGGAAGAGAGGAGGCTACAAATGAATCATCGTTTTGTGATAAGTTTAAACTATGCATAGTTCACTTATCATGCCAGAAATGTTAATAATGTACGTTTTAGATGTGGTTACATTTGATATGCAACAACCTATTCACAATGCTGTGTTTTGCATTTTTTATCTTCCAACTTGTACATTCAGTCGTGACTTCATGCTTATGTGTGGACATACGTACACAAAAAAACAGGACTAACATTTTCGCTCATTTTCTCGTCCTGGGCTCCGAGACAATTCTCTATAATGTTATCTGTCTGTTCTATTATCAATAACTTGTAATTTGAGTGGCATTGATTATATTACTTTTGTAACAATGAATGCAAGAGAATACTGATAGTGTCTTATAAGTCTCATAGTAGACTGGATATAAGGGTGGTGGAGATGATGGCTGATTGTTATGTAATTATATAATAGTACTATGTACAATTGACACTTCAATATACTATGCAGTATTGTGGTGTTACGTTCAAAAGCCATGGCTAACCCTGTATTTTGAACAAAACGATCGCTTGTTATATTCGCCTTTTTTTAGCCATAGTGGATCGTCCCCTAATCAGGACCTGTCTGCATGTTCGTATTTCAAGAACTTCTACTGTATCTGACTAATAACTGGTAAGCAATCGTGAGTTTATAGACCCCGACTTGTAGCATATAGGGACCGCAGAACCAAATGATTGTCCATAGACGATAGTGTTAACGTTTACCACTGTCCTGGTGAAATGGGGTTATCCACACTGGTTTACCTGCCCTCATTTTGAAGAATATCATCTCACACAACTGTAAATAAGATATTTAAAAATTCTGCCTATTTGAACTTTTTATATATGGGGGGCGCCATCTTGTATTGAATTCGGCACCAAAAATCGACCAAAATTTACAATAAATTACACACTTAATAAACTCACCCAGACAAAAGCAGACTTGAAAATTTATTTTTTATGCATATTACATCTATATATATTGCTCAACCCACACATAAAACTTTTGAAACTTCTGCCACCTAAATATCCACCCAGCAGGCCCCGAGGCATTCACCTTCCTATTAAATCTTCTACCCAAAAGGGAAAAACCCACAATCTATTTTTGATTTAATTCTGTGGTCCCTATAATGTTGAAAAGTAGGACGCCGTGACGAATCGGTCCACGACGATGGGGCCAGTTAAGACTACTTTAAAGTTCACAAACACTGAAGAAGGGGCATTTGAACACGAATATCCGAAAAATTCCCCCGGTCATCTAGTTATGACCCCGGGTAATTTAGCCCTAAAACCGGCGTACATTTAAAGATGAACGTCAAGAAAAGCGTAATATGTCTCGGTCAGGGCTCAGAATCCATAACTTCCCTCCTCTGATCTTTCATTGATCATAACACCGTTAAGATAGAACATCTACAATGTACATAATAAGCTACTGCACCGTGCCAACAGACCCTACATAATAAGCTACTGTACCGTGCTTACAGACCCTACATAATGAGCTACTGCACCGTGCCAACGGACCCTCATAATAAGCTACTGCACCGTGCCAACAGACCCTACATAATAAGCTACTACACCGTGCTTACAGACCCTACATAATAAGTTACTGCATCGTGCGTACAGACCCTACATAATAAGCTGCTGCACCGTGCTTACAGGTCCTACTGTACATAATAAGCTACTGCACCGTGCCAACCGACCCTACATAATAAGTTACAGCACCGTGCTTACAGACCCTACATATTAAGCTACTGCACCGTGCCAACAGACCCTACATAATAAGTTACTGCACCGTGCTTACAGGTCCTACTGTACATAATAAGCTACTGCACCGTGCTTACAGACCCTACATAATAAGCTACTGTACCGTGCTTACAGACCCTACATAATAAGCTACTGCACCGTGCCTACAGACACTACCTTTTGCGTTACTGCTAAATGCCGATGAGCCCTACCAGGTGTGCAACTGCGACCTGTCGGTAAACCCTACCGTGTCATTGAAACGCGCCAATAAACCCTACCATGCGCGAAAATTACCCTACCTAAAAAATGCGCTGCAACGATTGACCCTACCTTGTGCATTACTGTACCATGCCAAATACCCTATCTTATGTGTAATTGCGCGGTGATGATAGACCATACCTTGCGTATAATTACGCCGTGATGATAGACCATACCTTGCGTATAATTGCGCCGTGATGATAGACCATACCTTGCGTATAATTGTGCCGTGATGATAGACCATACCTTGCGTATAATTGCGCCGTGATGATAGACCATACCTTGTGCGTTGCTGTTGAGAAGTAGAACCCCATGAGTGTTGCCGTCCGCCTCCACGCACGTGTAGAATGGATGTACACCGTACAGGTTTGATTTTTTCTGAAAACATCAACATGCATTTTTCAGTAATGGATATGGGGTTTTTTTCAGCAACGGATATGTTGTTCAAAATAATGCTTGTGAGCATACTTTGCTTGTAGGCTTGTATTTTTGTTTCCTAAAATATTTTCACAGGAAAGAAACATTATTTGGTCAAAGAAATACTGTTTCAAGGATATGCAGAAAATTTGAATTATTTATATACAGGACATTCAGTAATCACATAAAGGTCTTACCTGACACATTTTGTGATACGTTAAGAAATTACTAAATAGGGGATGGTTGGTTTGATGTATAAAACCAGACCGGAAGTTACCTTGTGGAAAGGGGGCTGGTCCCGCGAGAACATTGGCCATGAGCGATAGTTGAGATCGTGACGAAAAGACTCGTGAATGTTTTCTCCAAATCCGTACACATTTTCCGAGGGCAATGTTGTAGAAAGCTGTAGGAACTGGTTCGTTAAAGTCAGGCCTCCGATAGACGTGTTGAACCTGTGGAGAAATAATAAGGGATTAGCAAAAATGACCTGATTCAGTCACAATAGCTAGATTTAATACCACACATCTCTTCTCTTATTGCAATATTATAATGTTACCAGTTGAACATATTTTCTATGCAATATAAATTATAACGACAATAAATGTTTAATTGTTGTATAAAATTGGTGTAGTTTCTGAATCGAAAAATAACTTTTTATCAAATTTTGAAAAGAAAATTATTTCATATCAACCAAACTTGGAAAATCAAGCAATCAATCTTTAAAGTGAGATTGTTCTAGTTTGATGATAAATATAAATGCGCACGTACAAAACAGCTCCTGATGACTTCCGGGTAATTTGGAAGGCGAAGTTTTCTTTGTCTGTAATCTTCAGTTCGTAAGCCATCTTGCTTGGTTGTTTATCTGGAATTTCTAGATTGAATGGGACGTGAAATCTGTTGCCGTTTTCATCATCAAACTGTTTAAAAAACACACAATTCCTTTCGTGATTATTTTCTATATTCTTACCAGGGGAAAAAATGCAACGGTGAAGCACGACGTGATAATTAAGCATTGAACTGCTTTTGTATGGTATTTATGATCTATTTGAATGACACAGCTTTGCAAGCAAACAACATGATGCGCGCTAGCGCATTATGAGTTGTTTGCTTGCAAAGCTGTGTCATTCAAATAGATCATAAATACCATACAAAAACAGTTCAATACTTATATTTACGTTTTTTCTGCCTCTTATGTTCTTTTTTAACTTATAATTTATATTTATAATTAAAAATGCCCGCCTTATCGACAGTCAACACAATTTCGTTCAATAGTTTAAACAGCGTATTGTCGCGTGCTGATTGGCGAACAAAGTAGTAATTTGAAATTTTAACAAACACTTCAATTTTATTCCACAATTCAGTATCAATACAATTGCGTATGATATGTCTATAGGGTGATTTAAGTTTATCAATAGAACTCTGAGCTGAAAGTTAGATTT